CAGGCTTGAAAGGGTAGAAGGCAGGGCAGTTGAGGAAGATCCTAGAAGAGATGAATTCACACAGTTCTGGGATAATGGGGAGTAGGTAGCTTGGAGACAGTGAGACTGGCTCAGAATAGGACAAGGTTCAGAGCCATTGTGCATGGAGTTGCTATAAATCCAGTCCAGGCAACTACAGTGCATGTAACAACAATATCATATTGTATTTATTTTTTGTGAAATAAAATACTAAATGTATTCATCTGTTAAATACATTTGCTGCATATTATTAAAGTACACCTTAGGGTTTATATTCATTTGTAGGTTCCTGAGTAACACCCATGGTTATGTGCTAAACTACTCTTTGAAAAATTGGAATTCACTGAAAGAAACGGAAATAATTTACAGCTAGTGATTTTCTTCTCAAACGTCATACCTTTGGAAACTTTGAGGAACATTCCACTAGATCTGACTTGATTGTAACTGACAAAATATACTGATATACTGAAAAGACCAGTGAAATGGAATAGTAAATTAAGGTGAATTTGAATAACAGTAATTACAAAAGCTCTAATGACAAAAAAGGTACCATCAAAGTATGTATTAACTAGAATAATATATCTCAAAATTTTCAAAGGTATTATTTTTATAGAGGTGTTGTACCAAGTATTTTCACTTTAATATTCCTTTCCCTTATTTTGCCTTCAGATATTAAACTAATTTTAGAGCAATTTTGTAGAAGGACAAAATATAATGTGGAAATGAACATCAAAGATTTTTTTTTCCTTATAGTGCTTCATATGTCTTCAGATCCTAGGCTGACATCTTGCTGGATAATTTCATCAGCCTTCTCATGGGATATAGGTTTTATAATCAACCAATAAAATCATTCTCTAGTGATTATCTTGTCTCTGATTCATTAGAATCCTATTACTTTTTATCCCAGAAGTAATTAAGCATTTATTTGTTTCAAAGAATATTTCTGAAGCTATATGTAGCAGAATACAGGTACTGAGCTTAACTCTTTTCTTGAAACTAGTAAGTGGAAAATGTTCATGTGTGGAAGATCAGAAAAGTCTACCAATTAGATAACTGTGGATTATCTTTTCTATTAATAGCAGCACAACATTCAAGTAATATTTTTGGTTAAAAACATAAGTTGAAAATTTCAGAACTTAATTTTGTACAGTGTTTTGAACATACAGGGTTAGATGTTTTGAGATGAAACAACAGGGCCTATAGGACAGGGGGGGAAATGTTATTGTTCTATGTAACATTGATGTGTTACTTGTTTTTTTTATAAATGACTATTGAGTATTATTTTGCATTAAACATTTTACTTTAAACATCAATTATTTAAAGAAAAGAAGTAAGTATTCTCAATTTATTTGTATCTAATGTTTTTCATTTCTGTCTTCCAGCATTGATTACTGTACTCTGGCCTATTTTTCTATATTTTTTTTCATATGCCTCTCTGAGCGAAAATACATAAGCGTTTTCAGGCTTGCAAAGGTCCCTAACTACAGATTTCCCCAGTGCAATGCATTTCCTTACATGAAGTGGGGGGTGCTTTAAGATTCAATAGTTAAATCAATAAACCAAATAGTTAAAAATAAGCAAATGATTATTCCCAGCAGTGAACTATACTATGATATATGGGTAAGTAAAATATGATGTAAGGTTTATTTTTCACAGTGTTGCTACATTACTTTAGAATTATACTTCATAAATATTTTATATAAATTTGATGAAGTCCCCTTAATTGGAAAAAATATACGAGATTTTCATCAGATATATAAGCCCTTTAATCTTTGCAAATAAAATATTTTTGTAGTTTTATAGGAAGAACTTTACTTGAAAAATAGAAGTTATGGCTTCAGAAGTTTCCTTTATATTTGGATGTAAGATAAGAAGTGATTGAAAAATATTAGGATGCATTTATTTAAACTGTTGTTTAATATAAATATATGTCCAGAACAAAACATTAGAATAAGTTTTACTTTTTTTATGGCATGTCAATAAATAAACTAATAAAATTGGCTATAGTTGTTATTGTTGTTGTTAGGTGCCCTTAAGTTGTAGATGACTCATAGCAACCCTATGTATGAAAGACCTGAACACTTGTATAACTTTCCTCTTTCTCCACATTCATAAAGTAGTAGTAAAATTTTTTTTAATGACATTAAGAATTTTTACTGGACAATGTTACGTTACTGTTCTTTCTCTCCCCCCGCCCCCCCGCCCGCCCTCAAAAGTACGTGGCCCTTGAGCTTTAGCTTAAGGGTAAGGGCAGAGTCCTGCTTGAGGGTGTGGACTTAAAATCCTGTAGGGCCCAAGGGCCAAATGTATTAATTTTAGAAGAATATTCTTTAAAAGGCACAACAATTATCTGTCTATTTGCTGAACTGAACAACTTGGAGTTGCTGTGATGCTGACCACTGTCCCATGGACATTTGAAATACCATAATGATTACCCATTATGTACAGCAGTTGATGTTAGGAAGCAGGAGTGCCATTCACTTCCTAAATTAGGCGCCCCTGGAAACTCTACAAACTCTCTTATAAATGTACAGAAATAGTGTTAATCATAGAACAGAGTTCAGGTCTTTTGTGCAAAGCTTACTCTGAATCGTAATCAACTCTACAACACTTAACCACTGCTAAATGAGACCAGTGCTGTTATATCTGGAGGAACATTCTTCCACTTTGCACATCAGTCTTTGTCTATATGAGGTAACCTGGGTTTGCTATGATGCTGAACCTTGTGCCATGGGGATATCAAATATCAGAATGTTTTCAAATTGTGGACAGGCTTTGGTGGAGCTCCCATTGTAAAAAGGATGGAAAGCAAGAGTGGTATCCACTTCCTAAACCACATGCCTCTGGAAACTCTATAAACTTGGAGAAACAATAATAGCTACGGAAAGACATTAGGTCTTTTGTTCATAGAGTTGTTATGAGTCGACCTCAACTCGATGGCAATCAACAACTACAACGACATATTAGGCTTGATTTAATCATAAATGTACACCATTTCTCAGAATCTGTATGTTTTAATGAGAGAGAACTTAGTGAGAAAATAATGTTTGATTTTAGCTAGATAGGGAGCCATTTAGAAAATTTTATTTAAAAAATATTTTTCCTAGGTAATTCTTTAATAAATGGAAGTAAACACATAGCAGAGAATTGGGAAATATTTTATAATAATAACTAAAGAAAGGAAAGACACTAAAATATTAAAGAAAGAAATATTAGAGGTTATAAGAAAGATAAGAGAATTAGAAATTCTAGAAAGAGATAGAATTGGAGAAAATAAGGATTGCATATTTATGTGTGTGTGACAGAGAAAAGAGATATATATATATATATATGCATATCTATCTATCATCTATATCTTATCTGTATATGTGCAAATCTCTATCTGAATATACACATACCTCTATCTGTAACACTGTTGTAGTTGTTGTTATGTGTTATCAAGTCATAGACAACTCATAGCGACCCTATGAATGAAAGACCTGAACATTTGTATAACTTTCATAGTTTTTCCAAGTTCATAGAGTTTCCAGAGGCAAGCTATTTTGGAAGTGGATGCCACTCCTGCTTCCAAGCTTGTTTTCATCAGGAAGCTCCACCAAACACTGTACATCATGGGTAGTCATTATCACATTTGACACATCAGTTTTAGAGTGTTCAGCATCACAGCAACCACAAGTTACTTCTGTACAGCAAATGGACACACCAGTGTTATACCACTTAGAGGAATGTTTGACCAAAAACAATTAAAACCAGATCTGAGGGCCACAGATTAAAATCAACCACCTTTGGCTTGGTAGCATCACTTTCTGAGCTCTTTCTATGTTGTTGTTGTTCCTAAGTGCCATTGAGTCATAGACAACTCATAGCAACCCTATGAATGAAAGACCTGAATACTTGTATAACTTTCATCGTTAGAAAGTTCATAGGGTTTCCAGAGGCAAGCTATTTTGGAAGCAGTTGCCACTCCTGTTTCCAAGTTTGTTTTAGTGGGGAGAAATACCAAACACTGTCCATCATGGCACCATGGGTAACCATTATTACATTTGACACATCAGTTTCACAGTGTACATAGAGAGTGGTGTGTGTGTGTGTGTGTGTGTGTGTGTGTGTGTACATATACATACTGTATCAAATCAGGAACAACACATAGCTGACCGTCCAGCGAGTTTTCAGAGACAGTTAATTACACAACAGAGCAGCTGGTAGTATCAACCTGGTTGCCTTTGGGATTGTAGCATAGCTTCTTGCTACTAGACCACCAGAGCTACTTTGTATATATAATATAGAGATTGCCTATCCTTCTCTCAGGGATCAGCTGGTGTA